TTTGCGATGAAAAGTGACACCAACAGCACAGGTTCAATTACTGTACCAGCTGAGGTTACCATGAATATCCTCTCAATCTCACCTGAGATTTGGTGACCCTAAGACTAAGCCACCAACAGTCAACTGTCTCTAATGAGAGAGTGGGACTATGGTGACTTTAGTTTCAATTATTACATATGTTATCATCTATCGTTAGTCTTGTAGTTGTTTTGATCTTTTGAGATGACTTAATTTGAACATTTTGGGTGATAGTTAATCACTGTAGATGCATACTTGGCTTCACTGGTGCCATCATACATTGGTAAAGAGCTATGGACTTGGTAAGAGGGAAAAGCTGTTACAAATAGGGTACTCTTATAAAATACTTGCCGTGTGAAAGAATAGCTCAAGAGACAGTAGGGGATGTGCTACCAAGCTGACCTCCAAAGAAATTTAGGAGGAATTAAGCATACATTACCCGGCTAATCCAAAGGATTGGCCATGAACTGTACCCGCATTATTCATGCACTAATAAACCAATTAGAGTTCAGGATGCCTTTGATCATGTCCAGGGTAGTAGGGATTGGTGCGGGTCTGAATTTCAGTGACTTGATACATGAGAAAGAAGATCAAAGACAGCAAATGAACTCCAGCCACAGAACAGAACAAGAGACTGTCACCAGTGTCACAAACTTGGTATCCTGAAAAGGAGCGACTGTAAAAACACAGCTTTTATTATATATTTTGTACCTGTTATAACGAACCTAAACAATTCTGTAACATATGTGAAGACAGACACAGGATATGACCAATTGAGTACCCTTCATTATCCAGTACTTCCTGGGAGCAGAGAGACTATGCCATGTTCTCTGCAGCCTTCAACACATTATCGATGACGATGAGCACCTCACCAAGATCTTCTTCCATTTCTCACCTTCAAACAACTGGCCAAACCTTAAATACATCATCATTCACAGCAAACTACCCAGCCTTCAGGACAACATCAACCACAACACCACACAACCCTGCCATGGCAACCTGTGCAAGACATGTCAGATCATCGACATGGACACTACCATCACACGTGGGAACACCACCCACCATGTGCATTGCAGATACTCATGTGACTCGGCTAATGTTGTCTATCTCATACGCTGCAGGCAAGAATGTTCCAAGGCATGGTATAATGATGAAACCATGTTCCCTCCCAGTCGGGGAACACTTCACCGATTAAGGACATTCACCTTCTGATCTTCGGATATGCGTCCTCAAGGCAGCCTTGAAGATTCACAACAACGCAGAATTGCCGAGCAGAGACTGATAGCCAAGTTCCGTACCCATGGAGATGGCCTCAACCGTGATCTCGAGTTCCTGTCACACTACATGTGACTCCACCATACTGTTCTGTATCTGTAAAATCTTCCTTACTGTCCTGTTTTGACTCCATCACCTTGATAAATTGTTATGATCTCATTACCTTAATTAGTTTGTATAGTTTTGGATTACTAATTACTTTGGTTAGATCCTTGGCATGCGACTCTTATACCTGGCATGTTATTCCAGTCATTTGGTTTGTCTCCAGCACCACCTTTTTTAAATTTTTTGTAATTATCTCTCTGCCTCATTTAATTTTATTATAGGTTATCCTTTCGCTTGTTATTCAGCTGTTGACATTTTACTTAGAGATAGCAACAACTGCCGATGCTGGTGTCAGAGTCAACACAGTGTGGAGCTGGAGGAACACAGCAGATTAGGCAGCATAAGAGATGCAGGAAAGATGATGTTTTGAGTTTACACCCATCATGTTGAAGGGTATAAATCTGAAATGTTGACTTTCCTGCTCCTCTGATGCTGCCTAACCTGCTGTGTTCTTCCAGCTCCACACTGTGTTGACACTTTACTCACACCATCTAATACTTCGGATCACCTGCATGGACTTATTATTCGGCATTCCACTCACACCATTTGTATGGTCTTTTGATGTCTCTGCCCTTGATCTCTCTGCCTATAAATTCTGTTTCTGTCTGCTTCTCTCTCACTTCACCTGACCAAGGGGATCTGCTCCGAAAGCTTGTGATTTCAAATGAACCTGCTTGATTGTAACCTGGTGTTGTATGACTTCTCACTTTGTTCACCCAGTCAAGCATTAGCACCTCCACTTCAGGGAATTGTTTGAGGTTACAGTAGAGATACATTTATGGAGAAATCAGACAAGAACATGAGGGATAAGATAATAAAGAGTTAAACTGACAGATTTAGATGAATAGAGATGGAGTGCACAGGACATAAGGATTGACGTAAACTGCTAGGGCTGGATGGCAGGTTTCTGTGCTGCATAGTCTGCATAATTTTATCTTGATAATTTTGGGTATAAAGATTGCTAAATAAGCAATCCATGATTATCTCTGAGAAAAAGCTGATAACTGTTTTGATCAACCATTGCTTGGTGCAATGAAGATGTTCTAATAGCTTTTAGAGACATGGACAATCTACAATAGGCAACACTGGAGACATCCCACAAGCCTTGGCAAGAAAGATCTCCCAACAGCAGCATCCTGTCATGAGCCAACATAGCCAGCATTAAGACATTCACTTGAAAGCAGCTCCATTGATTGGGACACATCATTCTTGAATGATATGGGAAAAGTTGGGTTTCCTTGTGGGAGAATCTAGGACCCAAGGATATAATCTCAGAATAAGGGGTCATCCTTTTAAGAGAGAGATGAGGAGGACCTTCCTCTCTCAGAATGTAGTCAATCCGTGGAATTCTTTACCACAGAGGAGTGTAGAGGTTGATTCATAAAATATATTAAAGGCTGAGAGAGACAGATTTTCATCAGTAATGGAATCAAGGGTTATGGGGAAAAGGGAGGAAAGTCAAGTTGAGAAAGATCAGATCAGCCACAATTCCATTGAATCGCAGAACGGATCTGATAGGCAGAATGGCCTACTTCTGCTTTTACATCTTATGATCTAAGGAGGCTCATTCAGGAAGATACTGAACACAGCACGAGACTTCATCAGAACCATGCAGAAGTGAATTGAGGCTCAGACAGAATGCCCAAACCTCCAAAACAACAAAGACTCAAACCTTCAAGTATTATGTGCCTGACACATGGTAGAGCTGACAAATTGCACATCCAGCCTGTTAGCTATTTCTGAACCAATTGGAAGAGGTATGGATGCAGGTTGTTCTCAAGCTCAAGGGGCCACCTCAGAAAGATGACTCCCATAGGGCTGTTGGGGAGGGATTCGCAGGATTTGAACTCAATAACATTGAAGGGACGGTGATATATTGCCAAGTCAGGGTGGTACTTGACTTAAAGAGCTTAGGAAATGATGCTGCCCTGATCTATCTGCTTTGCTGGTATTTTGATGATCGGGGCTTTTGAGAAGCTAATGGTTTGATGAACTCCAGTAGTGCATCCTTTAGGTAGAATGAACTGTAGCCACTCTTGTAAAAAAGAATATAAGTAAAGAAATGCAGATAAATTGTTATGAAATTTTAGATACATTTTATTTTAATTCACAAAGACATGAATAATTTCTTATTGTTTATTCACAATTTGAGGTACAAAATAAAAACTATGAAAACCTGGCAGATTTATTTCATCTGTTGACACCAGTTATATTTTGTCTATTAAAATGGTCAATTAATTACATACCATTCAAGCCTTAACATTTACCTTCAAAGAATTTGTTTGCTTTTATTTATTAATCATTCAAACAGAAAAAAATTAGCTTTCTATGAACACAGGTTCATTTGAACTGAATTACAAAAAAGTGGAAAATTGTATAAATATATGTACATAAATATAATAGCAAAATAGAAGGAACCACTGTATCCAATAAGTTAATTATAAATACCTTCAAAATGGTCAAGTGCTTGTATACGTGAATTTGCAATCAACTTCCTTCATGCTAAGCTCCTTCAACTTCAACAGGACAAACTTGTACATTTTGCAATAACAGATACTTGATGCATATTTGGTACTACAGTTCCAGTTTATGAACTTTTTTGTTTCTATAGTTATTTTGTGATTGTCCTAGTAATGGGACTAGATCTGCAACATTTGGAACCCTCTCTTACAACGGTGCACTGGATTTGTACATTTCATCCCGAATATCAGCCCCCAGAAGTCTCATGTTAATGAGCTGATAGGGTTTAAATTGTCTTCTTCATCAACTCTAGCAGGACACAATTTAAACCGAGCTCAGCAATTAGTTGAAAGATTTTAAATTTCACTTCCAAACCCTCTTCCTATAAGGGTTTTAACTGGACCCTAGCTCCTCAGGTGTAAATCGAATCTCTATCTCCAAACTCCTTTCTTAAATAAAGATGGTTTAAACTGCACTCTATCCTCTCCCATAGGAGACAAGAGTCATAGAGATGGAAAATACAAAACAGACCTTTTGGTCCAACTCATCCATGCTGACCAGATATCCTAAATTAATCTAGTCCCATTTACCAGCATTTGGCCCATGTCCCTCTAAACCTTTCCTGTTCAACTGAAACTATAATTGTTCTTCCTACTTTATTTCTTTTGTCCTGCATCTCACAATGCAGGTATACACTGATCCCTCTATTCTCAACAGAATGGGGATTTATACATTTACCCTGTATCCTAAATCTTACAATAGGGTTAATGCCACTTTCTCCATGTTCCATCTGGTTTTACCCTGAACCCTCTATTTTCTATAATACATCAGGGTTCCTATGCCCCTGAATCCCTTCTCCCAGTGGAGTTGCATTTTACACAAGTCTATAACATTGCCTCTAATGTTGCTCTATCTACAATCAGTCAATAATTCACCTGCTTCGCAGTTACATATTTATAATAAGAATCAATTCATTCAAGATGGCACTCAAACTGTTTCTTTTTAATCTCGAGAGTGACGAAGAGAGTCCTCACAATCAAACACTGTCTGTCACCTCTTCAACACAGCAAGAGAGCTGAGGACAAAGCAATTCAGTCCAAAGGAAAAGTGCAGTGCAGTCACGGGTCTGAAACACACCCCGTTCATGTGGCTTCGTACGTGAAGTCCAGGGGGTCCATGCTGTTGATCTGAATCACTGAAGACGGCAGCGAGTCAAGTTCAGGAATGTCCCTGGACTGGTCCCCAGGGACTGGGGGGATAGGTTGTGTGTTGCGGATGGGCAGGAACTGAGACAAGGGAGGGAATGCCCTGCCTCTTGTGTGGCCTCGCTGCCTCCTGTTGCTCAGGGACACAGCAGCTCCGTACTTTTCCGACCAGTACAAATTGTAGGTGCCAGACAACAGGCGCTCCTTAAATGAGCAGTCAGCTTCATTGTAGGTCAGCTGGACGAGTAATAAAAACAAAGGGTCAGGTGGGAGGGAGAGGGGAATGGTGGTAATAAAAAGGAAGAGTGATTAGTCAATGTGTTTCCATGCTTCTTCGCGCTGGCAGCTGACAACACTGGCGCCCAGGGCTACAAGTGTGCATCTACAGGTCACTGAACTCTGGGACACATAAACTAACCCCACGACAGACCAGCGGCCAACGCAAGGGAACTCAAGACACTACTCCAGAGAATAAGGCAACTGGTGAAATTACTGTTAAAGCGGCAACGACACACTCCCACACACACACTCCCCCCCACACACACATTCCCACTCACCACACCCCCACATACACTCCCAGACACATACACACACACACACACCCCACACACACTCCCACTCACCACACCCCCACATACACTCCCAAACACACAAACACACACACAC